TGAAAACGTGTTATATTAATATATTCCTCGAATTGTAATCTATAACCTTAAAGAAGACACTGTAACTTAAAACAACGGATTCCAAGGAATCTTAATGCGTATATTTCAAAACGTAGAGGTGGGGGTGTTTGTTGTTGTGTCCTTTTTCGCAATAAATCAATGACATATAAAAATATTGACATAGACGAATTTTAAAGAAAGTCGCTAAAATGTTTTATAAATTGTGAGAGATGTAATTTTTCAAAATGTTGAACCTTTGTGGGAAAGGAGAAGGAGTAATGCAAATTAACTTACTTTCCTAATTACCAACTAAAACTGGTAGCTCCAAACTCGGGTTGGCAAACGAAGAAAGATATAGTATAATGCGATCAGTTGGTGTCGTCTACGACATACCCTCGTAGAAATAATGGGTCAGTAGGATAGTTTGTAAGTTGTTAGGAGTGTCAACAATTTGAAATCCAAAAATTGTTAAGAAAATATTTGGTGAATAGATAGATCTTGGGTAAAATTTGGTGTTGGGTGTTCTCTTGGATTTTCAATGGTTTGCGTTTTATGTTTATTAAAATCTTTGGTGTTTTTTTCCGTCACAGGTTGTAGTACCCATTACGAACTTCATATACGAATTAAAACAATTCCGGTAAAAAAATTGATGAAGAATATTTTTGTCTTTGGAGTAATTCTTGTAAAATGACGCTTTGTTGAAGATTTTTGCACGAATTTACACAAAATTCTGCTTTAAAACTAAAATGAGTTTCTAATATAATATGAATTCCTGTCGTTATGGAACGAATTTGGCAATTCTCATAAACAATAAAAACTGTTAAATTCTTAAAAATACCGAATGTAGCTGTTATATTAGGGTCTATACGACAACATGGACTTACATAGGTAACTTTTGTCATAAGCCATTACAATATTTAAATGCAAAACTTAAAAAAATAAAATGTATATTTCGAGGTGTTACAAACGGAATGACAAACTTAATATACCCTTCATACTAGGTTGCAGGGTATAACAAAGGTCCAAAAAGACCTCTTTGTTGACGCGATCGAGGGTTAAAAATTCTGACCAAAATATTCTTCGTATTTTTATCTGCAATATTGTATCTAAAACTAAAACGCACCCATTACCTAAAACGCACGCTTTTCGAGGAATCTTAATCTGAAACATTTTAAAAATGTTGTAGAGGGGATAACTTGCCCCCTCTATTTAGGATACTTTGTAATGTAAACTTTCAAAACGTTGATACAGGTGTCTTCTTTTTTAAGCTCTACTGAAGATACACCGTAGTTATTTCTATGTTGCACAGTGTAATTATAACTCTCATAAAATGCGAAATAAACATTCGATTCTATTCAAATGAGGCACATCCCAATATTTTTACTAACGCAATATCTTGTTTGAAGATGATAAATATTGGGCCAGCCGGTACCTCTTCCACAAAGGATCAATGTCAATGATTTCAATGTCAGTATCTCTCCCAAATTGTGAAACAGATAAGCGATTGTTTTCAACCTTGATACATTAATTAGTCAGACTTATGTTAGATTTAAAATGGGCAAAATTGGCCCACTTCTTTGGAACCTCCCCCATAAAGGGTTAAAAGTTATTATAATGCGAACATGAGGGTAAACATCTGCCGGTAAAACCGACAGATATATTTAACTTGTTATACTCTTCACCATTCTAACTTTGTCATACCGTTTGTAACTCCTTCAAATATTCATGATAGACCCTACAAAGTACAAAGCCTGATAGACCCATATAACCGCATCTCCCAATCTTCAATGTTTTGATGATTTTAGAGACCGGAATTGTTTCAAATTACGTATTTGAAGTGCGGAATCGGTGTATATTAAGTTCGCCATTCCGTTTGTAACTCATCGAAATAAATTTTTAAACATAGTAAAGCATATGTATTCTTGATCTGCGTAAAATTCTAAGACGATTTGGCCCTGTCCGTCCGTCCACCTGTCCATCTGTTTTTATCACGCTAGAGTCGAAACGAATAAAGATAGGAAGCTAAAATTTTACACACATTAGTCTTTTGTCTGCAGACAGGTTCGAAGATGGGCTATATCGATTCACGACATCGTACAGCCCCCATATAACGGTACCCGCCGATATGCGGTATTTTGATGATTGTAGCCAAATTTTTCAATGAAGTTGTCTGAAAATCCACAAAAGGAGTTCCTTCTGAGTACTTTACCCTCTGGATGAGCGTTGTCTTTATAGGTCCACGATATCGTATATCCCCCATATAACTTTATCTCCCTATATTCGGTATTTTGATAATGTTAGCCACATTATTCAATGGAATTGTCTAAAAATCCACACAAGAAGTTCATTATAAGAACTTTACCCCCTGGAAGAAAAATGTCTATATAGGTCTACGATATCGTATTCCCACATACAACTTAATTCACCGTATGCCCACGTCTTCGTATAGCCTCCATATAACGGTACGTTCAAATTTCGGTATTTTGATTTTTAGTGACATTATTCACCGGAGTTGTTTCAATTTTGTCTACTGGGGACTGCAGTCTATAACAAAAAAATGTCTATGCAGGTCCAGGTCTTCGTATATGCCCCATATATCGGTATCTCCCCATATCCGATTTTAGGTACAATATTCATCGAAATTGTTTGAAATTTGGTATTTGAAGTTCCTAATAGGTACTACAGCCTGTGACAGAAAATTGTCTATGCTGGTCCATGTCTTCGTGTATACCCCAATATAACGGTTATATTCGTTATTTTTAAGATTTTAAGACAATTGTTAACGGATTTTATTTTTTGGAATATTTCCAAATTTGTTCCAAGGTTATTCAATGCTCGGTCTGGATTGAACTTACTGCTTTTTTACTTGTTTCTTTTTGTTTGAAAAATTTCAAGTTCCTTCTAAATGGTGGGTGGTATTAAAATTTCTTATCTGCTTTTTTACTTGTTTTATTTAAATTCATTAAGACACAAAACATTTTCTAAATTAAACAAGTAAAATGGACATTTAGTTCGACCGGGCCGAACTTTTACAATCAAATTTCTTGGAAATTGTAGCAGAAACTTTAAAATACCAAAGTCTGGAGGTTCTTTGTGTAAAATTTCAAAACTCCACATTAAACAAGTAAAACACAGCTGTAAGTTCGGCCGGGCCGAACTTTGAATACCCTCCACCATTTGGAACGAATTTGGCAATTCTCAAAAACAATAAAATCCTTTAAAAATTCTGTAAAATCTTAAAAAATTCAGAATGTAGCTGTAATATTAGGGTCTATACGATGACATGGACCTGCACAGTTAACATTTGCCATAAGCCATTACCATATTCAAATGCGAAACTTAAAAAAACAAATCGGTAACAATGTAGCTAAAATCATCAATATACCGAATATTGGGAGTTACCGTTATATGGGGGCTATGCGAAGACGTGGTCCGGCACAGACAATTTTCTGTCTTAGGCTGTAGTATCCATTACGAACTTTAAATACCAAATATGAAATAATTCTGGTGAATATTGTCGCTAAAATCATCAAAAATACCGAATATCTGGAGGTACCGTTATATGGAAGCTATACGAAGACTTGGACCGGTAAAGATAATTTTCTGTTTTGGGCTGTAGTATTTATTATGAACATCAAATACCAAGTTTGAAACAATTCCGGTGAATAATGCCGCTAAAATCATCAAAATACCGATTATCGCTAGGTACCGCTATATGGGGGGTATACGAAGACGTGGATCTACATGGCTCATTTTCTGTCATGGGCTGTAGCATCCATTACGAACATCAAACACCAAATTTGAAACAATTTTGGTGAATAATGTCGCTAAAATCAAGAAAGTACCGAATGTCGGGAGGTACCATTATATGTGGGCTATACGAAAACGTGGACCAATATGGCTCATTTTCAATACGAAAAATCCTGCAGACATAACATATATTTGAATAAAATTATATTAATCTATTTCAATTCGTTCGCACAGACGGAAAGACGGACGGTCATCGCTAAATCGTCATAGAATTGTATGCTGATCAAAAATATATATACTTTGTGGGGTCTAAAATTTATATTTCGAAGTGTTACAAACGGAATGACATGCTTAATATACCCTTCATACTATGGTGGAGGGTGTAAAAAGAGGACTCTATCGTGATTTCAGGCCGATATAGCTAAATAGCCTTACAATTTTATTCTGATCAGGAATTTGTATACTTTTTTTTAGTTCCCCGGGGTGTTGCAAACGGAATGACAAATTTAGTATATCCTCCATTGTATGATGGAGGATACAAAAAATTTTCTCATTCACATTGTGCTTTGCGAACTAAGTATTAGCAAACTTATCCAACCCAAATATTTACTAATAAAATGCAATAGAAAACAAAAACAATGTTGAGCACGTGACTCATTCAGACGAGAAGATATTGTGAGCATGGGGTCATTATTTTATTGCTTGGACTATGGCCAAATTAGAAAAAAACCGGGGGCTGTTGCAAGAACCCACCACATTTTTATTTTTTTTTTTGGCATTCATTCGAGTTGTAATTATCAATTTGAAGTTGTAATTAAATCTCATACCATCGAATCTACATTCAATGTACAAAGAGAGTAATGTTTTTGCTTTGAATAATTAAACTAACTCACACACACACACACCAATATACACATTTACACTTGCACTTCCATTGCTTTCACATAATATGGCTTCACTTCCGGTGAAATTTATTCACAATTTCATTTAATGCATTCCATTGACGGTGGTGGAGTGGTGTTGGCTAAAAGCTAAGGTAATCACAACAAAACCAACAAAGAATTCCTTTCCCTGATGTGGGTGGGAGTGGCGGTGCTGCGGTAACGATGACAATTGCAGAGGCGGTTGGGCATCCTCCAATGGAAATTTGAACAAATGCGACAAGTTCGTGACGTGAACGATTTCCTTTAATTTTGACTTAATTTTAACCATCAAAAATTATTCTGTTTTTCTTTTTTAAAGCAACTCACTCTCACTGGACTTCACATTGACGTAGTCGACCATGGTCACCATGGTTGTGCACGCAACACCTCCCCGTTTCACCACATTTTCGATTTTTGGGAACACCGAAGTTTTTCCTTTTTTTCAGTGCGGTGCGGTTCTTTATTTGAAAAATGTTGTTATTAGTGTTTCTAAATTACATTTCCGTTGTTTTGAGAGTTTTGCAAATCACTTTGACGATTTAGCGGCGATACTTTGGCCATTTGGCTGACCAATCGACCGACCGACCGAACGACTGTTATTTCTTTGCCCCGACAGGAAACGTCGTTCGCTGTGGCACGGTGTAGATTACAGTTTAATTTGTAATCATTACAAGCGAAACATTTCCATGGCTAAAATAATTAATGAAACCCAAAATGGAATCGTTCGAGGTGTTCGAAGGGAAGTTCAAAATGGTCGTTTCTCTTCCTTTATGGCACTTCTGGAATGTCATCCAAAAACAATCGCCCACAATGCACTTTTCCGTGATATTTCTACATTTTCCAATTCAGGGGATTTGTTTGTTTTGTTGCAATCATTTTGTCGTTTCGTGATTGTTTATGTTTAGTTTTGCACTACAAATGAAGGCAAAGTGTCATTTAACAAATGTCAAAATACAAACAACCTCGTAGCACGCACTCTATTTTGCTCTTATCGTGCATTCTCAAACATGCATTTGTCATTTTGGGTTGCAGCACTCTTTGCCATGCACTGACAGTTCGTGGAGGAGAAAACTTACGAAAGGGTTGACGATGAAAACACAAAACAGCTGTTCTCATATGGCCAAAAAGACCAACTGTAGTATTTGTTGCCGTTTTGTGTGAAAAATCGATAAGACACTTTATTTTGACAGCCGACACAATAGAGAAATAATGCACAACACGACACGGCTCTCATGGTACTGTCGGGGCGCATGAATTCTCCCAGAAAAAACAGCTGAAGCTAATGCAGAAAATTGAAAATTGTCTCTTGCTCTCTTTCCCTAAACCACAGAGCGAGCTAGTGACAATGAGACCGACCCCAAACAGTCAAGCGACAATTGGACTATAACTCGACATACATATGGAAAGCACACACAAGTGCACACATGTTCCATGGGTTGAATGGACAGAGTCAACACCCCTCAACCATGGAGGGGAAGCAACAACATATGTTTGTTTAAATGAAATAATAATTCTGAATCAACTAGTCAGCCAAACTGAAGTCAATGAGAATAATGAGAATGAAATTGTCGTCATCGTTTCCATTCAACTGGCGGTTATCACCATTCCCACACACCGACATCATCATCAACAACATCATCATTTTTATCAGCAGAACAACAAGAGTGAATGGCGTTTGAATAACTTAAACATTCAAATCATAAAATACCCCCGCCATCCCCCTTTCTCCACCCTTTTGCCGGCAATATAGAGCGACAAAGAAAACCGTTGAGAACGAAGAAAAAACGAAATTCATTTAAATGTTTAATAATAATTTGCCAAGTGCGATAAAGCGATTAGCGTTTGAAAAGCCAATGTGTGGTGAGTAATCAGAGTACCGACGATGAACAAGGGAAGCTAAGCCCACACACACATACTATATACTGGTATTTTTATGTGAGGGGTTTTCAAATTGAACAAGATTTGCATCCCAGCAAAAATCCGTACAACAAGTAATTGCTGAATTGCCCTCCACCCTGAACTGAAGAAAACATTTAAAAATTAAAAATATTGAAATTTAGTATTCGCGTGTTGATACTGGAATATATTTTATATCTTCAGCTATATGGCTACAGGTATATATCATTTGATACGGCCAAAACGTGCCTCATCGAAATAACGGTTTTAGATCTTAGGTCTCTTTGGGCCAAATTCATTTCAGGGCATTTGGAGTCGATCTAGCGATGTCCGTCTGTCTGTCTGCTGGCTGGTGCGTACGATTACTCTCGAATTCGTAATTTATTTGTCAAACTTAGATCAAGCTTAGATCAGCTGAAAATGTGACCAGTTGCAGTTTTTTTACCTTACCCTGTATATCTGGTACCTCACGCACATTTTAACATTTTCTAAAAATAATCACATATCGCATATAAAGTGAAGCAAATAACCAATATAGTCCAAACATGCCACGTCTCAATATTTATATCATATTTATTTAGGTCCGAAACAAGGGAAAGCAAGGGATAAAATTGGCCCATTCCTTGCGAACCTACTCTACACTCCATCAAATTTATTCTAAATAAATTTAGAGTATGATGATTTTGGACTGGAGTTGCTTTCTGATTAAGCTTTAACTAATGATGTGGTGGTAAATTTTACTCTCTATCTTCCACATTTGTTGAAATTCTCTCTTATATGCGATGTATAAAAGTATCTGTTTATGTTTAAATGAAAAAAATGTTTTTTGTTTTTTACTTGTGATTTAAAATATATAATTATACTTATAAAACAAATAATTATCAAAAAGTATTTTTAAATACTTTGTAGATTTAGGAGGGGTAATATTTACAAGACGTCATCAAATGCGTCCCAAAATTTCACCTCTACAGTTAAAGGTTAATTGCGCTGATACTTTTGTTTTCCCTCTCACTGTATTGTTCAACGCTTCAATTACTCAAACTGTTTTTCTTGAAATATGGGGAGTTACCGTTATATTGGGATCCATACGAAAACGTGGATGTGGAAATTTTTTAATAGTATTCAAAATTGAAACTTGAAACAATTGTGATGAATAATGTCGCAACAACATCAAAATCCGAATATAGGTAATGTTATATGGGGGCTATAACTAAACGTGGACCTATATAGCCTATTTTCAATCCCACAAGTCCTGCAGATCAAACACACTTTTAGGTTAAACTTTATCAACCTTCTTCAATTCGTTCGGAAGCTAGAGTGAATTTCACAGACGGACGGACAGACAGACATATAGACGGACATCGCTAAATCGACATAAAATTTTGTGCTGATCAAGAATGTATACACTTTATGGGATCTAAAATGTATATTTCGAGGTGTTACAAACGGACTGACAAACTAAATATGCCTTCAATACTATGGTGGAGGGTATAAAAACTATAAAATTCATTAAAATCATTTGTCAGAAAATTTTCTTCCAGGATGTGAATATGGGGATATAGCAATACATAGAACTGTATAAATTTTTTTTTATGTAAGAGGAAACAATGTTCATTAACCAATTCCGTTAAAAATGTTTCTAATGTAGGGAAGTTTCTGAATGTTTCTGAAATGTTTCTGAATATGGGAAGGTAACCGATATTGTGGACAGATACAGCCCAACTTTGAGCTTCACCTGAAAAAAGACATGACCATTTTGCAATTATTACTTCCTCTAAACCCTCCATGAAAAAATAACAGATTAGTAGACTGTATAGTTTATGAATTACCACAAAATACATAGTAAAATAATTTTTAAGCATGAAATTTTTGCTGGGATATGTCATTAGAAGTGACGCACTGTATCGAATCATCACATTTTGTTTCGTATTCTGAAAAAGTTGAATCTACATATTCAGAAGACAATGTGCTGCAAATGTGGTTCTCCTTTAGTGTCGAATACAAACGGAATATTTAGATATTCTAGGTTACTTCAGCAAGATCAAATTTTAAAATTCGCAACTATTGCTATCTTGCGCGGCTAAATATTAACTATGCTGATACCTTTCTTCTTTTAAATATTTACTTATACCCTCAGCAACACAACTAATCATTAAGGAAATGTTGTGGAGTGTATATTACGCAAGTTAGGGACTTTAACACCAAATTGGATGAAAAATATTTATGAAAGATATGGCTATAAACCGATTGTCTGCAAAAATTGAAGTACTTGCTTCTGGGCTGAATTCCGTCGGAAGTGCCAAAATTCAGTTCATTTGGGCTGATATTAGCCATTTGGTGCACAATGAATCTGAAATCTGATAAAGATATATATGGGAGCTATATCCAAATCTGAACCGATCATGAGAAAATTTTAGGCACTTATTTCTGAGCTGTACCTGATATCTGGTACCAAATATCATTGTTGTGGAATGCATATTACGTATGTGAGGGACTTAAACCTCAAATCAGATGAAACATATATAAGGGAGCTAAAGCTGTATATGAACCGATTTTCACCAAATTTGATATGGTTGTTTTTAGGAGGAATTCTGTCGGAATTGCTAATATTCTATTAAGTCTAATGGGGTTTTGGACTGCAGGAGATTCTTGGAAAACCCTGGTTTGTCCATCAAGTTCTGTTGGGTTCCTGGTCATTATAATATTCCTCGCTTCCTATAGGTTTTTCATAAACACTACTCGAAGAGAATTCAACAAAAATGGATGGACGAAAGGGGATCCAACAACTTCAAAAGAATCTGGCCCAAATCTCGTAGAAGAGAACAAAGTCGCTACTGTCATTGTCTAAACCTGACTTAAAACTATCTTATCATCACATGTGAGGGCAATGACCTCGAAATGGGACAGCGATGACATTGATTGCTATAGAATATGTCAGGACGAAGAAGAAATTGAGACGATCGAACATCTGATCTGCCACTAGCTAGCACTCCTTAACGTGAGATACAGGTTGGTGGTGGAACAAGTGTCACATAATTTGTCTTCGTTCTCTAACACTGACTCTACAAGTCAAATCTTCAATTAGCCAGAAGATTTAAGTGGCTAAGGACGACACGGCAAGATCTCTAGCCGTGGATCACACATATAACTATATATTAAACCTCTAACACCTTACATTTTTCCACTATTCTTCTTTCTTCCAATTTCCTATTAGGACGAACACAATGGACCAGCAGGTCCCCGAGTGGAGCGGTTACCAAAAAGGCAAACGCACGTCCTTTAACCTAACCTAACCATGGCTCCATCTCGCTTCCTTCTCCATGTTACAAAAAATTGCACAAAGATATAATTTCCTTACCACTTGTGTAGAGAATAATAATTTCCCAGTCCTAGATCAGCTTTTGTCCTGTCCCTTTATTATTTATCCTTCCCATTACAAGTATGTTTCTGTACTATTTTCCAGTTGATCTGGATTCACTATTCGAGGTGCAGGCACTGAAATGAAAGTATTGTGAACTTTCTCGAAGAAGGACACAACCAACATTCTTTGCAGAAAACATCGATACTTTCGCTTTCGTCTTTATTTAAATAAATTTATTTCCTGATGTTGTTGACACGATCCACAGAAATACTTTCCATTAGAATAATTATATTCCGATTGCTGTGATGCTGTTTATTTCACAATTTGTTTGTTGTTGCTGTTAGAGATGAATATTTGTTCACTCCAAAGCATTACTTTAATTAATTTAAAGTAATTCCATTTAAATATGTTGTTAATGCTAGGGATGGTTTATGTACGACATTGCTAGGTTTTTATACTGCACAGTGATTCTGGAGAATTTACTACTTTTGAATCATTTCTGGAATAGTTAGTATCAATGCTTTAAAGTGATGCAATATAATTATTTATTATTAAATGAATTTATTTTGCCACATTATATGAACTAATTGGGGAGGGCCAATATAACTCTAGTGAAGGTGATGGATGGTATTAGGCCAGTGGAGTTATACCTAACGTGACCATACGTCCCGCTTTGGGCGGGACAGTCCCGCTTTGAGGTTATCTGTCCCGCTGTCCCCAGCGAGAGCAAAAATGTCCCGCTTTCGAAAATACTGGATATTGATGAAAAATACATGAGTTATTTTTT